GGCTGACTTGACTATAATAAACCCACCAGTGTGTGGAAACACTGACTTGGAGATCAGGGGAGCTAAGACTATACTCTTAGGGAAGGGACTGTGTTGTGATACAGTCTATTAAGCTTGCAGTACATTTGAGTTGCTAAAATAACTTATCATGACTATCTTCCAAGCTTACTTGAATGATATCAGGAAACTGAATTAGCAATTTCAGCTCAAAGTTGTTCACAAGAATGCTCAGAATCACTGATCTTACTTTACTCTAGAGCAGGGGTGGGCAATTTATTTCGATTGAAGGGCTGCTTAATGAGTTTTGGTGATCTGTCAAGGGCCACAAGGGTAACCCTGCCCCTTGACAGGTGCCCTGGTCACCATCTTGGCACTAAAAGTCCCACCCCTATCTCCTGGCCTTTGCCTCTAGAAGTATTGCTTTTGGGAGGTGAGGGTTGCCATCTTGTAACCATAAAAAAACAAATCATATACTAAAAGTCAAACACATACTATCACATTTTATTATAAAAATATTTTTGTCATGATTTCTGTTTGTGTAGTGTATATAGAGCTGATTGCATAATAACTCAAAAATAGTCTTACTCATATTGTGTATAGTGGAGTGTGGGGGACTGTGGAGGGGTTTGTGAGGGGTTGTGGCTGTGTGTGGGGGGGGCACAGGGTGGATGGGGGGTTGGGGACAGGGTGTGGGACTTGGGGGTTTGGGGACTCCCCACATACTCTTCCCCCCCAACCCCACCCCACTCCACCCCACATGGTGTATAGCCCCTGCCTGTGGTGGCAGCAGCTGCAGCAGGAGGTGGGTGCTTGGGGCACTTGTGGCCCATGCAGGTGCTGCCACCTGGTGGTGCATAGCTCAGTCCAGTGCTGCACATGTTGGCAAGGAGCACAGCCAGGCTGGCCTGCTATTATGTGGGGAGCCCCACAGTGCACATAGAGCTCCTGGCACTCATGCACCACTGGGGGAAGCCCTGCATGATGGATCCAGCTGTCTACCCCAACCCCTGTCATGCAGGTCCTGGGACTCCACCGGAAGTGTCCTGGCAGAGTCCTGGGACCTGTCTGGCAGGGGGTGAGGAAGACAGCCAGCTCCATCATCCTGGGCTCAGTGGAGTCCTGGGACCTGCCTGGAAGGGAGCAGCAAAGGCAGCTGGTTCCATCATGTGGGGCTTCTTCTGGTGGCGCAAGTGCTGGGAGCAGCATGTGTGCCGCAGGGAGCTCTACTCAATAGAGGCAGGCTGCTCTGGCCGCATTCCTTGCCACCATGTATGGTGGTGGCTGGAGCCATATACTGCTGGGCAACAGCACCTCTGCAGGCCACGAGCACCCTGAGCATCCACTGCCTGTTGCTGCCATCGGTGGGGGAAGTGTGCCATGAGGGCAAGTGTGTGTGTGTGGGGGGGGGGTCCCCTTCCCCCCCGCAATGCCCACATCCTATCCACCAGTGCCTGGTGCTCCTGATGCCCCCTGGGTACAGGCTCCACGCTTCCATGGTCCATGCTTACTCCCAGCTTCAGCCCCCCTTCCACCTGTCACTTCCCTATGTACTGCCCAGAGCAAGCGCTGCAGCAGGGAGATGAGGAGGAGCCACTGGGGAAGCTGAGCAGGTCCTCCAGTGGCTTCAGCAGTGGCAGCAGCATCCTTAGCAGGAAGCTGTAGGCTGGTTGCACTGGGCCCTTCTGCAAGGGTGGGAGTGAGGTGTGAGGGTTGGGCAAGGTATAATTAGTTGGTGGGCACGCCCAGGCCAGATGAAATTTCCTGGTGGGCCGGATCCAACCCGTGGGCCTTATTTTACTTGCCCCTGTTCTGGAGTAACAGAGCATGGCCCAAATTTGCCTAAAAGATAGTATGTTTCTTTTCCACTTACTTGGTTATTTCCCAGTTTTGAATAAAGAACTTGGATTGGTTCTTTTTTTCTATCTGAATCAACATCCCTTATTTTGTCTAAAAGAATTCAAATATGCAAATTAGAATGTGTATATATTTTAACAAATATTTACCAGTTATTCTTATTTTTAACATTTTTCCCTTAAGGCCATAGCAATATGTACCACTGTTTTAATTTGGAAAAGCAAAGGGAGCTTTGTATTTTTATCTCAAGTATTTTAGGTCAGTTAGGTTCAGCGCTGATTGTCTTAAGAGCTATATGAGCAATCAGAGTTAACAAAAGTGCATAATGGATGCCCTTGTTGAAGCTCCAGTTTAAAAGCTCCAGTTAAAAAGCAAACCGACCATCAGTACATTAATTAATATTTGCACAGCCCAACAGGGGATGTTACATTATTTTGTTTTGCAGGACATACATACAGAAGGCCTGCAGTGAAGAACATTATGTATTTCCATGTGCTGGAGAGAGAAGTGCTATATTGAAGAGCCACGTGTGGCTTAGGAGAACTTGTCTGAGAGTATCACTGATTTAGATTTTCTTTTTAAGATGATAAAACAGTTTTTAATTTCAAACTGCTGCTGTCTCCCTTGCTCCTGCATTTTGTATAACTCTGCCAATGGTTGCTTGTAAGCCAGTGATCACTGGCAGCAAGTGATATGTGCTCACTGGAAAAAAAAAATCAATGTTTTTCAGTTCTTTCTGGTCATGTGATGGCTACAGTAGAAGATTGGAATTCCTACAGGTATTAAGACAAATATGGGCAGTCTGTGACACCAGTCATGAGTTTATCTCATGGAGTACAGCAGATAGGAAAAAAAAATGAAATATCCTTTTGTCCTTTAAGAAGCACAGCAAAAACATTACTGTGTGAGAAAAGTGCATTTGAAATGAAGATATTTATTTAATTTATTAGTATAAAGTCTTGCATCTTTTCTTATGAACTAGTTCTTTAAACTTGGTGGCGGCAGCAGCTGCTACGGTGATTTCATGATTAGAAAATTAATATTGATTCCTGAGCAGTGAAACTTGCTATTACTAAATTAAGATTACAGCTTGCTTATTATTTGAGAATGGTTTAATTGAAGTATCTGTACAGCATGATATTGTTTTTCCTAATGGACAGAAACTCTCAAAGAACCTCCCTTCTCACTGACCTCAGTTTGGAGGTGGGGTTGCTGTGAGCTTCTAAAAGTAGCATTTGAATTAATGTTTTTGTCTTGCACTGTACTAGGCTTTAAGGCTAGGAAGAAATGTATATTTTTTAAAAGTGAGATGAGCATGATACAAAATGCTGGATGTAAATGCTCATAACTTCTGGAATTTGCATTTTTCTAATCTTGGTTGAGAGTGCTGCTTTGATATGTACATTCTGAAATTACATATTTAGATCATAAGGTGCCACTGTCAAGGTTACACTTTCTAAACATATTTATCATTTTCAAGAGAAGTGTACTGTCTCTAGTGCAGTATTCAAACCACAGAAATTGAAAACAAATTATATGATCAATTAAAATAATACTTTTTCATAGTCATTATTTCAGAGAGATTTATAGCTACAGTAGGAAAATTGGGCAAGGGTCGTAAATTAACATAGGTCCTCTTGTCTTTGATAAAAAGGATTTCTCATTTTTCCCAAGAAGACTTCAAAATTACAGGTTAAAAGAAACAGTGTGATGGACAGTGGTTATGCTACTCGAAGGCCTTCTCCCTCATGGAAGCAGATAGACATATTATCAAGAGTACCAGAAGACAATATAGATTTCATTTCTTCAGGATTTGTTGTGAAATGAAGAGGTCAAAGGCAGGAAGATGATGGATTAGAACAAAAAGGCCTGGGAAGGGCTCAGGCCTGTCTGGTTACATGTATTACATTGCTTGCTGTGTGTAATTGCATAACCTTTAATGAAACTTTTTGCATGGATAAAGAATACTTTCATGAGTCTGGAGTTATAGAGTCAGTGCTGAAGATTCTTTAAGTGAATTAATTTCATAGACAAATATGAACAGGAGCAGATAATTGTTATTGGATTCCTGGGCGGGGGGGGAGTTAATTTTCATATCTAGAATAAAATTGTAATAAAAATAAAATCTTACTACATAACCAAGAACTATTGCTTCTTGTTGCCAAAAAAGATTAAAATCTTCAAACAATCTCCTTATATTCTTGTAGGCAAGATGCAGGCTACACTTTTACTGGTATAAGTGATCAGAAACCAGTCTTTACTTGTAGCAGAACAGAAGTTTGGCATACCCAAACTGGTTTAAAAATGGCGGAACCTGGTCTAAGATTTGCCCTCCCTCCCCCTTCAAAGCACAAACATGGGTTCTGTTCGCTACCAGTCTAAACTACACCACTTACAGAAAACCGTGTAGCTTAGATTGATTCCACCCCGGACTTTTTTAAATGTCTGTATCTAGCCATAATCTAAATGGATTTTTAACTCATTCTATATTATCACTATTGTTTAAGCATGTTTGGTTTTCTTGACTTCTTTCTATTGGAAGAGAAAATTCTGACTATGCCCCACGGTACTGCTGCATGAGTCAAATTATTCCCCTTATTTAAAGCTTTGTAATTCCAGGAAAAATAATTTTACTTAGATGTAACTCGGAAGAATTTTTCTCACTGCATATCTAAAAGATAAAGGAGTCTAGTTTGCATTTTTGTTTAGCTATCCATTATATGAATCTTCTACTAATAATATATATTAATATTCTTCAGCAGCACAGAGTTTTAGAACTAAGGATCTAAATCCTCAGATTCCATAAGGCACTAATAGCTCCATTATAGTTGATAGTGTTATGCTATTTTCACTTTCTAAAGATCTATGAGGGTCGATCAGAAAGTAATACCTCTCTTTATCAGCCAAATATTATTGACAAAATATTTAAACTTACGGAAAATTTGTACATTCTCATTGAACACATAGCTGTCTTTTAGTGTACTCGCTCTTTGTCTGTCAATGGCCTTTTCCCATAAGTATGGGAACAAGCATACAAACAAGGGTATGTATCCTGACATTGCAAAAATCCTCGTCCTTGTCCTTAAAACAGTCACTTTTATGCAGCCTTCATCGCTTCACTCTAATTCCAAAAATGTCACCCTCAGAGTCCATTCTTCAAGGAACCAATTATATGATAATTGGAGGGTGCTAGATCCAGGCTGTACAGAGGATGGGGCAGCACAGTTCAGCCAGATGATGAGATTGCCTCTCTGATTCACAAGCTGATGTGTGGGGGTGAGTGTTGTCATGCGGGTGCTTTGACATGACGTGTTTGTCAGGGTTGGCTCTTTACACACAATGTTTGTTTCTTCTGGCTCTTGATATAGGCAAGAAGTCAAGAAGAAAAACACCCTCCACGTGCTAGAATACTGTAGCCATGACTGCTAGTAGAGGACACCAGTCACGCTATTGACAGCCACTTCATCTCTGGCTCAAAATGGTGTACCCACATCTCATTACCTGTGACTGTTAGAGAAAGGAAAACATCATCTTCAGATTCAAAATATTCAGAGTTCTGTACTTTCCAATTCATCATTAGAGGAGCCCATTGCGCATAGATTTTTGATCTTGCTGAGGATAGTTCTTTTGCCAATTCTGTTCTGAACACAGTTCATCAGTGGCCATGCAGCAGTTGCCCCAAATTAGCTCCTCCATCTTCCTGGTGTTGTTTGATGGTATTGGTGGGGGAGCGCAATTACTGTGTGGCTTCTCCCTTCCCAGCAACTTTCATGTGTTTCATTTAGTACTTGATGGTACTGACAACGCAGTCATCATACAGCTTCTTCAGATGTTCGTGAATGTCAGTCCCTTTAAGAGGCTTTGGTCCTCTGCAGTAAGGAACTCTGTCACTGCTGTTTGCTTTATGTACAATGTCAAGTTCAGCAGCCATTTTGTTCAAAGCTGCTATGCTGCCATTTGTTGTAGTTCAATGGAACTTCAGGGACAGGGACGGGAGGCTCAAGCACTTGGACAAAATTTACATTCTAGCTATCAGTGATTTACTTAAGAGGCATTCCTTTCTCAGTGACCCATCCAAGTTGTTTTTGACTTCACCCGCGTACAGATAGACTGTACTGTATTGTGTACATGATTTTACCACAGGAATTTCAACTCTGGTATTTAAAAGTGGGCAAATACATCATTCATCAGTGACTTTAACTTAGACAGAGGTTCTTAGATGTCCAAGTCATTTTTGAAAATGATGTAAGCATCTAAATAACTTTTGAAAAAGTTGTTCTGCATGCTTGCACACCTGTGTTGAATACATATGTTTTCCTCAGTCAAGACCACTGTTCCTTGGAGATGCCTAATACAATCTAAAATGAACAAAAAGATACTTTCTTTGTTTTGGATCTGGGATCATAACATGCTCGACATTAAAAAAAAACAAAGAGTACAGTTAGTAGTTCTATAGTGTTCTGCCAAGTAATTTAAAACTAACATTGTCAATAAATCTAGGATCATACCCTACTTCCAGTCTTGTCTGAAGTTTTTAGAAACAGTTTATCCCATCCCCTTTGTTATTCTCAATAGCCATTTTAGAATTTCCATATCTTCAACTCCTTTACCTAGACCCATTTACACAAGGCTGTTTTCTTTCTCAGGTCACCATTTGTCAGCAGTGTTATAGCAATGAAGTTTGGTGCCCAGGGCAAAGCCCGCAACAGCAGTCTGCCTTCGCCCCACACACAGATCCAGGGGGCACATCCTCCCATGCTTTCCCAGGAGTGGATGGAGCAGGACCCGCCTTTCCTCCATCCCTGTGCCCCTCCAAAAGGAGCCAGTTTCAGCTCCATCCAGTGCCTTGCCCCAGTGCCCGGAGCGGTCTCCCTCCTCACCCCCACCTAAGGCACTGTATACCAGTCATAATGGAAGTCCACAATAGACTGTGCCTTCATTATAAAGTCAATGTTTATTTATTAAATAATAACTCTGATACTGTTTATTTTTTATAAGTTTTATACATATAATTGAAAAAAATAAAAGGATAAATATAAAACCATTTTGAGATGCATGACTGATTTGTATCAATCTGACTAAAGTATATTGCTAAATGGAACCAAGGCCTGAGATGAACTGTGTGAGAGGGTAAAATGACACTTGTTTGTACCTCTTTTATCTGTTTAGTCTCAGCTATTTTTAAATTAACTTCCCCTGTAAACAAGCTGGAATTAAAATTGTGATATAATTAGCTGACAAGAGTTCCTGTCTTATGTAATTAGTCAGGAACTGTTGTCAGCTAATTAGATCACAAATAGCTGAACTAATCTAGACACTGAAACTATACAACCTCATTACCATCCAAATCAGAAGTAGCATAGGTGGTTAGATGTGGCACTGCAGCTGTGCTAACTGAATTTGTGCCTCAGCAGCAGTCGCTTGACTTGGGGTGAGCTGGTGGGTTTGACTTGGGGGGGGCACTAGCACTGAGCACCAGTTCAGAGGGGGCACCAGAAAGACCTCTCCCAGGGAGGCTCTGCTACAGCTGCCCCAAAGCAAGAAGGTAAGAGCTTGTGCACACATATGAACTCAGTCATATTGGGTGCCTATACATGGGCAGGGAGGCTACTCTGACACCCTGTAATTACAGCTTGCCAGAGCAGACTTGATCAATTGTATCTGCTGCAGCATGGTAATTATCATGTTTCAGCAGACTCCAGTGTCATGTGTATCAGCATCTCCGCACTGAAAAATGTGGTGGGGGTGCTTTAGTTAAAACGCCCCGCTGCCATTTTTTAGCATATGGACACTGATGCACATGACAATCTAGGCGCTTTAATTAGAGTGGCTTTCAGAACCTCTCTAATTCAAATGCTCCCCCCACTCCCAGAGCCCATGTATAAATGCCCATTATTTCTACACTATTGGGAAGCAGAACCCATGAATGGCATGGTACTGATTAAAAAATTAATAGCATAGGGCTATGTTGAATGTTACACTTAGTATGTCTTAAAAACACTTAAAATGCAATCAACTGTGTTTTCAACCAGTAAAGTCCATGCTCAGTGCACTTGTATTGTGGCAAAGTTAGAACTTTTTGTATGCATCTACATGTGCACTTTACTATGGAGTTGACTAATTAGCTTTGCAGTAAAGTGTCACCATCTACACATACACCATTATTAAGGCACAATAAATTAATTCTGGTGTAGGATAGTATTGTTGGGGACACTACTATGCCATGGTGGAGTAATTTTCTTTGTCAAAACACACATGTAGGCAGTGACAAATGCTGGCTGGGGCACAAGGGTGTTAAAGTGTGGGGGCTACCTGCCACCTAGCCACACAGCTCTAGAAACTCAGCACCCTTGTGCCCCAGTCAGCCCTTCCACTGCCTGATGCCACTACCTGGAGCCTGGGGCTGCCCCTCCCCCTGCCAGACTGGCCTGTCCACCCTGGTTCAAAGTGCTGTGTTCCCAGGAAGACATGTAGACACTGCTTGGGAACAGCTGACTCCAGCATGAACTGCACCAGAATTTATTTCTTCACACTAATAACATATGTAGATGTGCCTTCCATGCAAGGAATATCTCCAGATCATATTAAGTAACATGTGTTCAGCTACTGTCTGCCTGCTCCATGGAGATGATATAAGCAATTTGTCATCCTTACCCAGCTGTGATATCATCCAGGAACCCTGTTCTCTGCCAAGCCTCCAGGTAGGACAAGAAAAGCCATATGTCAGGAGGAAGGATCCTGGATCTTTCACTTTTTGGGTTCCTCCAGGATCACCTTGAAAGCTGGGTATCCATAGCCTTGGCACTACACTTGAACTGGTTTAAGAAGAGTCTGGTGTAGGGGATAAGACTGACAATCAGGGAGCTGTGCATGTTAGAGATCATAGCAAACATGTGTGTGACTGATTAAAACACATCCTAACTTTAATACCTCACAAATTAAACATTGTGTGTCTGTGCTACAAGGCGTTAGAATCTCATTTTTCAGCTGTGCTAACCTCATGCTGCAAACTGTATAATTAGAAATGGCGTTTAAGGTGGCTATACAAGATTTTTCTAGTCTCTTGACCCAGAAGCTAAAACAGTCCTTTAGCACAATGTAAAACAGCCAAAAAGCTGTTTTAAATGATGCTGGGTACAGCAATCCATTAGGGACTGCTTCACTGGATAGCAGTCAAGAATTCACACTGTAGTGTACCAATGTACCCTCTCGTCATCTCAACATGACCCCTACATCAGAGGTATCCTTGGCTATCTTTTCAAAATTGTTTGGTAGCTGCTTTGCAGTCTCTCAGCAGTGGAAATTGCCTCAAACAAAGGCTGAGGAACTGGTCCTTAAACTTCTATTTGATAGATGTACTGTAAAAAATGGGCTGGACTACTTGCATCTCACCCAAAGCAACTGGCTCTGTGCATTTAATTGAAACAACATATTCAGCTTCTTAGGAAAAAAAGAAAAATCTGCATCATGTGCTTCTGGTGTGATTCAAAGGGGGTAATCCTTGTTGTTAAGACAACAATTAAGGGGAAAAAACAGGACAGGAGACTTACTGGTACTATACTTTTTAGCTGCCAGATTTTTCATGTGACTTGTAGGTATAGAAATTCTGCTTCCAAGCTGGAATTCTTTTTTAATTCCTTTCCTTTTAAAACTTATTTGAAATTAGTGAAACTCCAGGAATGTAACATTCTAATTCTTTATCTTCTGCTTTCCCATTTTAAATTGATTCAAAGCTGGATTCAAAAGACTATATTTCAAAATGCAGCAATTAATGTGGAAAACTTCAATTGTTGGGTAAATATTTGATGGAGTAACTTCAGATCATAGTTATCAATGATCAGAGAGAAAACAATACATTTCTGCTAACAAAGATGGTCCAAAGATTGATGTTGTGTTGCAAGAGCATGTTACTGGTCTTGCTTTGAGCAGGGGTTTGGCCTACATGACCTTCTAAGGTCCTTTCCAACCCTAATTTTCTATGATTCTACATACATGTATACAATAATTCTATATGCATATACAGAATCATAGAAATATATAATGGAATCTGCCCATCAATGATTCAACAACTAAATATTCAGAAATATTTTTAAATATATTTCCCAGATTAGGGTAATATGCTAATGACTGATTCATTTTTCAGTCATCCAGGAAAAAAATTAACAAGATTTCCAAATTAATCATGGGGAAACTGAGGTAAGAGGCATATCAGAAACTTTAACAAGAGAACATGTAGGGAACTATAACAACTGGCAAACCGTAGAGTGTAAGTACAAAGTTAATTCTATTCTTGGCTCTATTAGTAACATAGGGTGTCTTTACACATGCTCCGGGGTGGGGGTGGGGGGGGGGGCAGCATTAAATGAAAGCAGCTCTGAGGAAATACTGTAATTAAAATGCCAGCATTGTCCCATGTATTCAGTACCACGCACATCAAAATGGTGGCAGGAACACTAACTAAAAGCTCATTCAATGAGCTTTTAGTTAAAGCTCTCCTGCCACCATTTTGAAATGAGGGGACGCTGAATACACATGATGCTGAGGCTGCTGAAGCATTCTAATTAGAACACTCCACAAGACTCAATTAATCAAGTCTTCTCTGACCTGTTCTAATTAGAACACCTCAGAGGAGGCATCAGGCATCTGTATACGCATAGTTTTACTGAGCAAATGATCAGGTGATATACAGTAATAAGGCCCATTGCGTGAAAATAACTCATGAGGCTGCCAAGCGTGGTGAAAGCAATATTGTATTTGACTCATATGATACAAGATCACCAGCTTAAGCCTTTGAACGTTTTCTTTTAAAAAAAAAAAATAATAATAAAGACCAAATATGGCCTAAGGCTGATGAGGGTTGGGTTTCCTATTTGTATTATACAGAAAGAAAAGGCAACAGATTAATTCTACAGCTTAATAGGGATAACCCATGACCTAATTTAAGAATTGGTTGAAATGCCATGGACTTCTTTAAAAACTGGGCAATGCATCCAGAGCATGATATCAAACTTGCCAGTTCTTTTTGACCCATGAAATCTACCCTGAACATATTTTGAATTTTTGACCGCTTTTGCTAAGATGAGGCTTTTGACCCACCTCCTACATAATGTCTGTCCCTTTTAGAAACTCAGCAGAAGATTCTCTAATATTAATTACGTACATTTCTTGCACAGAGCAATCATTGAAAATTCACTGATTTGTATGCTCCCACAATTCACATCTAAAGTCCTACATTCTTCTGACTTCTCCAGAAACAAGGTACAAGTAGAAAGCTGCAGCTAGGTTTTGCATATTGTAAAATATGTATCCTGTAGTCTAGTATACTTAATAATTAAAATTATTATAAAAAACCACCAAAGTACAAGTAGTGGCATGGGGGCAGTAGTGATGGAAGCAAATAAAGCAATTAGTCACCAGGCCCAAGCAAAGGGATTTAATGATGTGGGTAAACTTCTGGCAAAAAATACACAACTTTGATTTAAATCAATTACTCCCCTGGAGAACTGAAGGATAGAAAATGTTTTACTAATTAAAAAGTCAGTGAATTCCTGGCCAGTAAGCATATTGACTGAAAGGACAAATACAATACTGTATATTTATAAAATACTGAGAAGATTATGATATGGTAGGGCCTAATTGGCACAGCTGCTGTATAGAAAATCATGCCTCATTAATCTATTAGAATTGTGTGTATGTAAATAGAAAAGACTGGATAAAGGAGAACAGCTTGATATAATTTACACTGTATATTTTTGCAAGTAGTTTAACCTTTGAAACAGTCTCCCTGGGAGAAAAAAAGAGAGTCCTCACTGGAGGAGAATACCCTGCTGAGTTTTCACGTGAAAGGCAAAGTAACATTATGGATCAAAAACTGGATGACAGAAAAAGTAGCCAGTTTTCATCATGGCAAAAGTTCACCAGCAGAGGGCCACTGGATTTCAGACTAAGACTAGCATAATTGGCTCAATATATGAATAAACTAGACAGGGTAAATAGTGTTCTGGGAAAATCTGCAGGTAAATCAATTATTTAGGTTAGTCAATA